TGGAGGAGATGATCCCCAGAGGTCCCTTCCAACCCCACCATGCTGGGATGCTGTGATCACATGAGGACAGTGATCACCTGGGAGCACAGCTCTTACCCTGCCCAGAAGCTGTAGGGCACAAAGAAGGCTCTTCATGCAGCAGATTTGTCCTCATTCTAGAGGTGTCTGGCACATAGAATCAGAGAATTACTTTGGTTGGAAGAGACCTTTAAGCCCAACCCTTCCCCCATCCCTGCCAGGTCCCCACTGCCCCGTGTCCCTCACCCCACATCTCCACAGCTTGGAAACCCCTCCAGGGGTGGGGACTCCACCACTGACCTGGGCAGCCCGGCACAGCCCTGGGCAACCCTTTCAGTGCATGTCACTACCCAGGCTGGCCCCTGGGGCAACTTGAGGCCCTTTCCTCTTGTCCTGTTGCTTCCTAGGGAGCAGAGCCTGACCCCCCCCTGGCTCCAGCCTCCTGTCAGGAGACACCAGATGCCAGCACTGGGTGAGGCAATGCTCCTGGTGGCTTTTTCAGCACCACTGAACCACCGTTGTTGGCTCAGAGCAGATTTTGTACCAGCTCCTTGGTGCCCTGTGGGCCCAGGCAGGATGAAGCCCCCACAGCACCGGCCAGGTCACTGCATTGCTCCAGCCAAAATTTGACAGGAATCAGCCCCAAAGTGCAGCCAGGAGCTCTTTGGTGCTGAGGAGGACAGTGTCTGCAGCAGGGCTCTGAGGTAGGGGTTTGTTCCTGGGTTATTCATTGCCCTGCTTCAGCCCTGAGCCTGCTGGAGGCACAGAACAATCACTGGGCTCAGACCCAGAGTTCAGAACCTCTCTGGGTGTTGAGTGTGAGTTGTGCAACTGATTTGTTCATGTCTGGGAGTAGAATCATAAAATCACTAAAGTTGGAAAAGATCTTTAAGATCTTCAAGGCCAACCATCAACCCAGCCCTCCTGTGACCCCTAAACCATCTCCTCAAGTGCCACGTCCACACGTTTCATGGGAATCTTGGAGGTGGCTGCACCTGCCCCATGGAACTTGGCTGCACAAGGAGCCAAAACGTGGGCAGGTGCCACCAGCAGCCTGTGAGTTCAGGTGGAACCCCCCAAACCCCTCCTGCACTCAGCTGAACCCCTGGGCAGCACCACAAGCAGCACTGCTGGGTCATCCTTCTGACAGCCCTGCCTGGGATGCCCCTGCAGGGTGTGCCCCGAGTCAGGGGGGTGCTGTAGGGGGGTGCCAGGTTTGTTTTGCCCCTCCTGAGGACAGGAGAAGGTCCCAGCACAGCTTTCCCAGGCAGCCTGTGCCCTCTAGTGGCACAGGGCCCGAGGCTGAGCCCTCTGTGCCATCCTGCTCCTCAGAGCTCCTGGGGTGCTGCTGGGCATCCCCAGCCCCTTCCAGCCCCTCCACGCACGGCCCCGGGGTGGGTCTCAGCAATCCCCCGAGGGGGTTTTGGGGAGCAGGAGGGATTTGGGTTTCCTGGGGCGAGCAGAAGGAGCAGCTCTGCTCAAGCAGCATCCTGGGCAGAGGTCTCAGCCCACTGGGGGGGTTTCACATGTCCCCTCTCTCTCTCTCTCCCCTCAGTACTCTCTGCATCCAGTGACAAGAGGCTCTACATGGGGGAGATCCAGTGAGGCCCAGGAGCAGCCCGTGGGACCCACTCCGCTCGCTGGGGGCCACCCCCTCCTGCTGGGGGGGCAGCTGGGGGTGAGGAGCCCCCCACACGGTGCAAGCTGTGCCCTCAGCACTGTTCCACCCCCTCCTCCTTGGGGGAGGGAGGGAAATTTGGAACTGGGTTTGGTTTTGGCTGCACGGCCGCCGATGAAACCCTCACCCAGGGCACCCGAGGTGGGTGCCAGTTGTTTGAAGCCCGTGTGTGTTCCCTGCCCTCTCTCTCCTCTTGCTCTTGTTGGTTTGTTTTTTTTTTTTTATATGGTCAAAACTGAAATAGAGCTTTTTACAAGAGCTGTGTGGGTGGAGTCTTTGTTCTGCTTCACTCCTCTGTGGTGCAGTGGTGAGTGGAGGCCCTCGCTCGTGCAGGACCTGGGGAAAGCACAGACACTGACTTCAGAGTCAGGATGGTTTGGGTGGGGAGGGAGCTTTCAAGGCCACCCAGTCCAACCCCTGCAGGGACAGGGACATCCCCAGCTAGAGCAGGGTGCTCAGAGCTCATCCAACCTCCCCTGGGATGGTTCCAGGGATGGGGCAGCGACCACCTCTCTGGGCAGCCTGGGCCAGGGGCTCACCACCCTCAGCAGCAACAATTTCTTCCTTCTCTCTACTATAAATCTCCCTCTTTTAGGTTAAAACCATCACTTTTTTTAAAAAAAGTGCAACAAGCCCTGCTCAGAAGTCCTTCCCCAGTGTCCTGTCAGAGCCCTTGAAGTCCTGAAAGGCCACCAGAAGGTCTCCATGGAGCCTTCTCCAGGTCAGAGAACCCCAAGGGTCAGAGGGAGCAGAGATCTCAGGGCTCAGCCAGCAGTGCCCGGGTGGTAACTCGGCAATTTACTGAATTCCTTGTTAAAAAGAAGACAAAAAGGGTTTTTTTTCCCCAAATTCCCAGCCCAGGAGGCTGCAGGGAAATGGGGAAGAGGCATCTCCCCCCTGCCCTGAGCCCCAGAGGGCTTTGCTGGGCAGTGGTTGCTCTGCCCAGGGGTCCCATTTGGGATGCTCAGCACCTCCCAGCGTGGGGCACCAGGAGCTGGATGGATCCACACCCCACCCAGG